TTTTTTTTTTTTTTTTTTTTTTTTTTTTTTTTTTTTTTTTTAAGTCCCGCGCTCCCTGGCTGCAACAGTGGAGATCAGGGTCTCTGAAGGCTCATGGCAGAGCCCCCCGCAACATAGTATGAGGTAGCAGGAATCACTACTCCCCACCGGTCTGGGTGCCAGGTGGGGACGGGGGGCACAACCCTGCTGCCCCCTGTGGTGCGGGAGGGCTCTGGCACAAGCCCTCAAAGGGCCTGATTGCCGCTGCTGAAGCCCGTGAGTGCAGGACTGTTTTGTTTTTTTTTTTAAATGCCGGGAGGCTGGAGCCAGGCAGGGGATGGGGCAAGGCAGGGCTGCCATGGGGGCTTCTCCCACGCCTCCTCTGGCTGTGTCTGCCTCTGCTCCAGCAGGAGGAGATGCAGGAGAAGTCCCCATGGCTGCCCTGCCTGGCCCCATCCTCCACCCAGCTTCCCAGCACTTTAAAATGAGGGCTGCGGGGCTGTGCCAGACTCTTCCTGGGGATGCCTCTAAAACATTTCTGAAACATTTCAGATGGTTTTGTTTTGGAGATGTTTCAGAGCTTTCTGTTCCATTTCAGATTCAGTGTTTCGGGAGTTAAAACAGGCCAAAACACCTCTGAAATGAAATGGCTGCTGAAATTTTGCACAGCCCTAATAGTCACATTCATTTCAGTGGGTTTCTGATCAGGCATAATAGTCTATACATAAATTGAAAACTGCACAATTAGGGCATGACGCTAAAATCTATCTGTACAAAGGACCACTACAAGGTCTATGCATATGAATTAGGAGTTTAGTACCTGCCTAGCCATTTACACTTAGGTAAGCACATTAAGGGTGCTGACAGAAGTGTGTGGGGGGGGGGGGGAAATGCACTTTTACTTGAAACTCCATGCACCACTGCACCAAGCCCCGTGCATGCCCAGAAGCATGAACGGTGCGTGCCCCCGGCAGCTGGGGGGCATGGCTGCACTGGCGGCAGCTGGAGCATAGCAGCAGTGAGCTCCTGCTGACGCCACCAGCACAGTCGGGGGGGCGGCGGAAAGTGCTGGCCATAGGTTGGCAACCACCCGCAGGCACTACTGGCCATGCCGGCGGCAGCCAGGAGCAACCATGGACTGCCCACAGATGCTGCCAACGGTGCTGGCAGCAGTGATGAGCAGCAACCACTCATAGGCACCGCTGAGAGTGTTGACAGCGCTTTTTTGCAGGGGGTGCTTGTGCACCCCCTACCATCGCCCCTGCCCAGAAGAGGCACTGCATTAGTTCAACCCAGCTCCACAGCATCTGTATAGATCAGGCGCTTCAGCAGGGCTTTTTGGTGCTTTTATCTAAAGCTGATTCACAATTAGGTATTAGATAAAAGCACCAAAAAAGGCACTTCAGCCGAGGGCGGTGAGGGGGTGTTGGCACTTTTATCTAATAGCTGATTGAATCAGCTAATAAATAAAGGTGCCAAAAACCCTTGCTGAAGCGCCTGATTTATACAGACATTGGGTGAGCTGAGTCCAACTAATGTGATGCCTGGTCTGGGCATGTGCTGGGCTCAGCACAGGGGTACGCAGAGCTTAAAGTAAAGCACTGTTTTGTTTTGTTTTGTTTTGTTTTGTTTTGTTTTGTTTTGTTTTGTTTTGTTTTGTTTTGTTGTTGGGAGGGGTTGGGGGGGTTATATTTGTAAGCAGCCAATGTATTTAACTGTATAACACAATGTTTGCATTCATATGTAAATAACTAATATTTGTTCCAGTTAAACAGCTTAAACATGTATCATCTTTCAGTACCACTATTTTGTAACCTAACTGTACTCTAACCTAACTGTATAACTGATTAAGAGCTGTGAATATCAAGGCTTCTAAAACACCCTCGGATGAACAGTCAATTTCAAGGCTACTAGCAAAGACATAAAAACTTTGGAAAAAAGTAATAAGCCTTAATGAGATGTAAAAAACATAGTGCAGGCTGAACCAGTATTAAACGACTGCTCACACAAACTTCAGGAAGTGCAGGCTTCAGTTCTTCCTTGGTCCTAAGACTACAGCCTTAAACAAAGTACACTGTATATAAGCTTTATGAGCCTTTTGCATAAGATGAATTTCATCTGTACATGTTAGAATTGATTGAAAATAAGGTACTGTTCAAGCAGTGTTCCATTATTGAGTTTTAAGCACCTTTTACAATTCAGAGCCCTGAGTAGATGGACTTTTGAATAGGGTCAAACATCATTACTTGAAACAACTTGATAGCATGATTCATCAGTTATCAGTTTGACACTGACAACAGTACATATAACATTAATTTCAGCAAAGGGTTCAAACTGTTTTCGATATTAGCTACAAAGCTGTTTTCAACACATTGCTGCAAATATAAAACGTATTAACTGAAAGGAATATAGAGCTTAATTCTTGTTTCATTAAGATAGACGAAACATATATGATTATATTTTAAATGCTCAGCTACAGTACATGCTGGTTATTAACATCATATTGGGTAAAATACTTTTAAAGCTCATACCTGGTGATTCTAATAAGCAAGAGCAGAATAAAATTAGCAACAGAGGTGCACCAACACATTGGTCTATATCGGATTGGTACTGATAACTGACATTAATTGGCAATTGGCATTTTTGGCTGATAATGTCACCAATGAACGCTGCATGCATGTGCACAGCTGCAGTATGCATGTGGTTAGCCCGGCAGCCTGGAGAGCAGCATCTGGCTGGTAAGTCTGCTGTTGGAAAAGGGTGGAGGGAGGGAGGTAGTGATGGGGGAAGGGCAGATCAAGGCCCCTACAGTAAGGAAGGGAGTGAGGCTGGAGCAGGGGCAGGTGCTGCCCAGCCAGGGTGGGCCATGAGTGGCTTGTCTTGGGGATGCATGGGGAGTAAGGGGGCAGCTCTTGCCACTACGTGCACCCCCAGGGGAGGCATCTCCCCCCAGATTTGTGCACTGGGCACGGGTGGGCTGCCACTGCGTTCTGTAGCCAGTGGTGGTGCTGTGCTCGTCCCAGCAGGGGGCCTGGGCCAGGGTGCTTGGGGTGGGTGGCGACTGTGGTGCTAGGAGGGGGGCTACAAGGTGAGCTACAGCCACCCCAAAATTCGACGTAGCCCACACCATGGCTCCCCTTCCCAGCACCACCACTGCCTGCCTCGAGCACAGCCTAGGCCTAAACCATCCGCCGGGAAGAGCCTGGTGCTGCCTGGGCTCCAGCTTGCAGAGGCAGCCCACCCTTGACCCATGCACAGTTCCAGGGGGCACATGCCCCCCATGCCTCCCCTGGGGGTGCATGCAGCAGTGGGAGCCACCACCCTCCCCAGTGATGATCCATTCACGGCTTCGTCCTGTGCCCCACCACGACTGAGCAGCACCACTCCCTCCCTTCACCGTGGGGCTTTGATCTGCCCCCCACCATACCCCTTCCCTCTTCCTGCAACAGGCTTACCAGCCAGAGCTGCTCTCCAAGCTGCCAGGATGCATATCAGTAATTGGATCGGTATTGGTCAATATGGCTCATTAATAATTGGTCATCAGTACTGGCTCAAAAAATCTTTATTGGTACACCACTAGTTAGCAAAGCAGAAAGCCCATGCAAAGCCCTCTGTACAATTCAGTATTTCATTGTATTTTACAAACTGATTCTATTAACTGATAGAAAAAACAGCTTATATGCATAGGTGATTGCTTAAGATTTTGCTTATGGCAAGGGACTGACTCAATAAAACATGATACCTATAAATGGTGGGAAATGTACAATGTTTTTAGCATCTGGCTTAGATTATAACATGTGGTTGATTCTATTAAGTGAGAATTCAGTATCTGGCAGTTGTATTTACAGGAGTAAGTTATCATTAAATCATGTTAAACAAAAGCTCAAATCTTAAGCCCATGCACAAATTTACACACTAAGCAATTCCATCATTATCAATGGAATTATTCGCTGTACATGAAGCTGGCACATAATTCAGTCTTTGCAGGATTGAGGCAATAATTAAAAAGGTCATTGTTTCTTCACTGAATTATGTCCACCTTGAATTGACACAAGTGTTTCTAATTTCATTCACGTTTTGTTAAAAAAAAAAAAACTATGAAGCGACTGAATTTGAAAATAATGAAATTATCACAACTGAGCTTTTTAAAATAATCCTAACTTTATTGTACAAAAAGCATCCATAAACAACAAGTCTCTGTTTCAAAAGGTTTATGTATAGTTTACCTTTTATCCACAATAGGTTTTTGAACTTGACCCCTGGTAACTTTGACCCATGATGACATTTTAATTCCTAGGAAAATGGAATACATTGCATTAATTTTTCTTCCTGAGTTAAGAAAGATCATTCTTAAAACATCTCTAGCATATGTAAATTCAAAAGAATTGCTGTATTGCCAATTTTTAAAAACATTTGTTTCAGAGATCAGTGATGCTGTTTGTTCATAATTCCTAAAAATAAATCCCTTCACATTGTTGGACCAGTTACACTTATTACAATTCATAACTTTTTTATCCTAAGCAAAACAATGTCTTTTTTCCCCCCATTTCTTCTTTAAAAAACAGTCACTGAAGCTTTGAATTGAGTGTTTAGTCCAAACTAAATACAGTTATAGTTCCTTGTTTCTTGTGCAGCTGTCTTTTAGAAATATGTGAAATATGGGGCCTCATATAATCCACACTTGCATAGGATCTAAAAGATATCAATCAGATTTTCTTCTAAGCAAGACTGAAACCATAGTGGCACTATCAAATGTTTCTTTGATCACTACAAGTATTAGTTAGTCAATGAAAATTAAGATTAGTATCTATAAATTATATTCAGCTTCCCCTAAAACTACTCCAAATTCTAGTGCTCTCAAAGACTGAGTATGTTTGCCAATCTCACCCTCCCTCAATTCCTGTCCGACTGCCAGTTTTAAAAATTACATAAAAGTTCAGACCCAAAGCACCCCAAAAGGATCCTCTAGTTGATGGGATCTGCTATTTAGAAATGACATGCAAGTTCTTTCAGAACAACATTCAGTGCCCACTCAGGGCTCCTCCTGACTGTAGCTCTTCCTCTGTCATTCAAGTTCTCTCTTCTCATTCTTGGCTGACCAGCTCTATTCTTCAAGTTCCAGAGATCGTTCTCTTGCTCATTTTGAAGCACCCTCTCCAGGATACAGACCTTGATCATCTTGTGGGGGACGGGAGGGAAGGAGAGTTATTACCAGGTCAAAGCCAGAGTCAGAGCCATAGCTGCTGCCTGCCCCACCACTTGCACTCAAATCCAAGATGAAGGGCATTTCCCCTTCCCCCACGTTAAATGGGGGGAAGAAAAACAAACAACTCTGATTTGGATTCAAGTAAATACAATATATTCCTAACCTAAAGGAAAAAGCAGCTTTGATGCTTATAGCTATTTGTTCTGCCATCTGAGAGTCATTCCAGTAACTTCAGGGGAAACCAAGTATCAGCTCACTGCAGATAAACAGGCCACCTCTTCTCTTTCTCCTTGCATATAACTATCCCACCTGCTGTACCTGACTTGTGGGTAGTATGACACATCAATTACCATTGCAGAATACATCACAAAGTATAATCTTATGCAAAAGCACAGCATTACTCTTTCTCTGATGTGTTTGCCACCAATTATCCATTAGGTGTTAATTAAAGAGAAGTAAATCCAGACTAGAGATCTGTTAACTAGGAAACACGAGACAGTCATTAAGGCCATTTACAGATATTACATTTTTCTACATTTAATCTGGACTACAGCTGTCACTGTATCTACGTGAACGTCTGTAGTCCGAATTAAAATTGGCTCCAGCCCGAATTAATTTTAATTTTCATTCAATGAAGATTAGTTAATGCAGGCTAGGGCAGTCCAAAATAGGCAATTTAAAACTCTATTAATTAACATGTATATGTATCTCCAGTTTGCTGTTGCTTGTGTCCAGCACCAGGTGTAGCAAGTGAATGCAGTTTTGTGGCCCTGATTGGGAGGGGTGGGCAGTGTCCAGCCCCTGCTGTCTCTACTGCAGAAGTGCACAAAAACTGCACTGATAGTCAGTGATCATCTACTAACCTTGAGTTTGAACTGAAATTTGATTCGAACTGTATGATGCGAATCAGTTCAGAGAACGGTGAGCACATCTACAAACAGCCTAAAATTTGACTGGTCTAGACTGAAATCCAGTACCGGTTTACTACACGTCGTAACTTCAGCAGCAAGAGAGCACAGAGATTGCTCTGGGTACGTGCAAACTCTGGCCTGGATTCAAAACATGGATACACAAAAACAAAGTGAACAGTTTACAGCATCATCCCAGCAAGTGAGGCAGTGGGTGGGTCACAGCCTCTTTAGATTTAATGCCCCTTGGAAAATGCCAGTTCATTCATTTTTTGAGGACAGAAACAACACTTATGCAATTCCTCTGCTGCAAAGGCCACAGCAGAGCATAAAGTTTTTTAACACTGCAGACTCCTGTTTGAAACCTCTGGGGTGATCTTCTGAAGCACCTACCAGTGCCAACGCCACGCGGTGCCCTCCAGCTTCCCCAGCTGAGAATCGCTGCCTGGGCGCCAGAGCCGGGGGCTCCACCGTTCTCCACTCCAGAGGCCCTTGGAAAACGCCCGCTCGGGGCTTTCCTCGGTTTGGGCACAACAGACAAACAGGAGCGCAGCTTCCCTGGGGCTCTCACCCACAAGGATCTCTGGGCTGGTCTCGGGAGCCTACCCGCGCCCTGGTGGGACCTCGACACCCGCCGCCCCCGAGTCTGACGGCAGCCAGAGGCGTCCCTCAGCCCCTTCAGCTGAGGAGGGGGGGAAGCTCCACGCAGCCCAAGAGCTCGGAGCGGAGCCCCCAGGAGGCGGGGACGCCGCGCCCGGCCCTACCCGGCCCGGCTGCGAAAGGCAGCGGCATCCGCTCAGCCCCCGCCCGCGCCCCGGCGTTCAGCTCCACCCCC